GAATATGGACTCTATATCAGGCTAGATGTGTTCATCTCAGTAATGCGCTCCTTATCGAAAAGTAGTCAGGGTGTTATTTCGCCGTTAGTTATTTCGTGTAATGCTATATTGTGCCATGTGAGTGGTGAACAGCTCGATGATTTTCTTATGTGTTAAGGTTCCGCATAGAGATGATGTTATATGAGCAGGATGGCCCTTAAGATTCAGATCGTATATCGCACATCAGTTGTGCTTGAGTTTTGTAGTTTATGGCACTATATTTTCCCCCAGAGATGGTATTATGCACTTAGCGTACTTGTGGCCGATATTCGGTATTTTGTTGTAATGAGCAATTTAGCTCGATGCATATCTCCTTATGTGAATTCTATGTGTGGATCGGATGGCACGCCGCCATGGGTATGTTATTTGGATCGGGTTGCACGCCGCAGTAGTGTGATGTAGAGTATAGTTTTCTATATGTTATTTTTGTATATGCCTTGCTTCCTATTTTCTGAGGAAAGTCCGAATTAGTGCGCGAGTTAGGTGGTACCTTCCAGAGTTCGTTTTCCTTTATATCACGTTCGAATCGGTAGCCTATCGGCATCTTGCGGCATCATATGAGGCTTTTGATCATGTCCGGGGTGGCTTATTGCCTGAGCAGTTTGTACTGGGTGAGACAAGATCATTGGATTTAGGATCAGTATAATCTGACTATATGAGGTATATTAAGGAGCTAAGACCATTATTTGGTTCAGAATGAGGTGATGAGTCTTGTCAAGAGTATAGACCCAATGATTTATTGATTCAACAGTTGGTTATCTACACATCTCTTTCATCATGGCGGTATTGTGAGAGTTAGAGCAAGACCTATGTATGTCATGAGGTGCAATGGGAGCATCAAAGTCATGGAATTTCGACTAAATTGATCAGAGAATGTTATCGTGGTCCTATGAGTAAAATGGTGTAAGGTGTGAACTCAGCTAAGGTATGCAGTCATATTCTGGTGCGTCGTGTGGTAATTGATACGATGTTCGTATGTTGGAAACAGACCTAGCAGAGAATTCCGGATATTGGAATTGGGCTCTAAGGCTTATTTGCTTAAGTGAAAAAGGATATTCTCAGGTTGATCAAGCTAAAATGCCCAGCTGAGTGGTGATGGTACAAGTAGGTGCTCGAGGTGTTAAACAGTGATTTCAAACAACCCCAACGCAGTTCTTAGCACGTTCGAAGACGAACGTATGTTTAAGTAAGAGAGAATGTAATGACCCGACCGTCATTTTGAGCTCTAGCACGTCATTCAGCAGTTTGAGGCCATGAGCAGCTTCACTTCAGGTATTATGACTTGTATGCATGGTCGGAATTGAATTTCGGGAAGTTCGGAGTTGATTCAGAAAGAGAATTCTCTTTTCGGAAGCTTTAAGTTGAAAGAATTAGCTAAGATTGGATTTTTGAGTAAACGACCTCAGAATCGGGATTCGAAGGTTCCAGCAGGTTCGTATGATGATTTCGGACTGGGGCGTATGTTCGGATTGGGTTTTGGATAACCCGGGAGCATTTTGGCGCCTATTGTGGAAGTTAGCATTTTGGAAGANGGGGCGTATGTACGGAGCGGGTTTTGCAAGAACCGGGAATGTTTTGGCGCCTATTGTGGAAGTTAGCATTTTGAATGAATTTCCTAAGTTTGGGTTGAAGTGCATTTCAGTGTTATCAAAGTTCGTTTGGGATTCCGAGTCTGGGAATAGCCCCGCATGGTGATTCTGGAGTTGGGAGCGCAATCGGAAGTGAATTTGGAGGTCCGTAGGTCATTTTGAAGTCATTTGGCTAAAGATAGAAATTTGAAGGTTTTTGAGAAGTTTGACCGGAAGTGGACCTTTTGATATCGGGGTCAAAATTCAATTCCCGAAGTTGGAGTAGGTCCGTAATGCCAAACATGACTTGTGTGCAAAATTTGGGGTCAATCGGACGTGATTTGATAGGTTTGAACATCGAGAGTAGAAGTTTGAAGTTCTAAAGTTCATAAAGCTTTGATTGGAGGTCAATTCATGGTTTTAGCGTTGGTTGATATGATTTGAGGCCTCGAGCGAGTCCATAATGTGTTTTGGGACTGGTTGGTATGATTGGTTGGGGTCCCGGGGGCCTCGGGTGGATTCCGGGTGGTTAACGGATCGAAAATGGGATTTTTGAGAAAGGCTGAAGGTTGCTGCTTCTGTCATAACCACACATGTGGTTGGTAGACCGCATGTGCGAGACCGCAGAAGCAGTCCTTGCATCGTAGAAGCGGCCCAAGCAAGCCAGGCCAGGAACAGTATAAGCGGCTCCCAGCCGCAGATGCGGCTCCGCAAATGTAGCCCCCGGACCACAGAAGCGGTCCCAGCCTTCTCTCTCCATTTCGCAGATGCGGTCATATTCTCGCAGATGCGGAAGTGCTGGAGGCAGTGAGTTCTTTTAAATGTCGGGAGATGGTCTCTCCCATTTTTTATTTGGTATGGAGGATTTTGGAGAGCTTCAACAGGGGATTTTCATCATTAACGATAAGTTAAGCTAACCCCACCTATATTGAGTTAAATATATCGATTTTGTATGGATTTTAGCATGTAAAGGGGTAGACATTTGGGGGGTTTGAGGAAGACCTAGAAAAATTATATTCTTGGAATTTGACCACGATTTTGGGTATGGAATTAAGAGAAAATCATATATTTGAGTTCTTGAGTTCATGGGTAAAGTTTATCTTCAAAAATTTTTGGAATCCGGGCACGTGGGCCTGAGGGCAATTTTGTTAATTTTTCGATTGGGGTTAGGAATTGCTATAAATTGGATTATTATGAGTACTTGAACATATATTAATGGATTTTGCATAATTATTGGCTAGTTTTAGAGTGTTGTGCATCAATTTAAGTCTTCGGAAGGGTGTGGAATGCCGGTTATGGATCTTCAGAGCGAGGTGAGTCTCCTTTCTAACCTTGTAAGAGGGAATTGTCCCCATAGGTGATATAATTGGTTATGTGCTTCTATTTATCGGGGCTACGTACGCACGAGGTGACGAGAGTCCGTGCGTAATTACTATTATGTTTAAGTCCGGGTAGTCTAGGACCCAAAATCATGCTATACTTGGACTATTTGTAATCTTATTGACAACTTGAATTGCTTAAATCACATCAAATTAGTAAATGAATTTCTAAAAAAGATTTAAACTTCATTTTCTTAAATTGTTAAAAGAGAATTGGCTTTTCTTTGGAAAATTGTTCTATGTTGACTTCTTGATTGATTGTCTGTGTGGATCGGATGGCACGCTGCCATGGTTATGTTATTTGGAATGGGCCGAATGCCTCGATAGATTAAATAGATGCATCTATGGTTCGTGCCGTTTGACCCTCGGCAGTGCACAATTTAAATATTTTTGTATCGGGCCGTACGACCGTGGTATGAGATGCACATGCTTGTAGTGCTTGCCTGAGAATGTTATGCGATAATATTTACCTTCCCTGGCCAGATATAGTTGATAAGCATAATGAAAAGTAAACTTTGGAAATCCACACTTATTTGAGATGTTGTTTACCTGCTATCTGGTTTTACAAGTTTATAATTGTTTCATAAAAATCCATGATTTCCTCACATTTTCACTATATTGTTATCAGACCACTAGAATGTGTTAATGTCGACCTCTCATCTCTACTTATTCGAGATTAGACGGGATACTCATTGAGTACATGTTGTTTTCATACTCATATACTACACTTCTGTGCATTTTTGTTGCACAGGCATATGTATCTCTAGTGGCCTACTAGGCATAGCAGCACGATTGATACAGAGACTTAGGTGAGCTACACTTCTCGAGGCGACCCTATGACGACCCGGCCCGTCGTCTCATGAGTTACTGCCCCGTTTTCCCTATTTTCTGTTTCTTCATGCTTCGTTATCCGTATCTTGTGTGATCGAGTTGATTTGAAGTGGTTTTGGTAGGAAATGAGACACTTAGTCTCTTTTAAGAAGGTTTAAGTTGGAAAAGTTAACCGAACGTTGACTTATGAGTTAGAGCGCTCGAATGTGAATTCTGATGGTTCGGTTGGCTCCGGAAGGTGATTTGTGACTAAGGAGTATGAATTCTGATGGTTCAGTTGGCCAAAAGCTCAGGAAGTTAGTATTTTGGCGATTTCTGGTTGATAGGTGAGATTTTGATTCGGGAGTCAGAATGGAATTCCGAGAGTTGCTGTAGCTTCCTTAGGTGATTTGGGATATGTGTGTAAAATTTCAGGTAATTCGGACATGGTTTGGTTGGGTTTTTGATCGAATGCGTGTTTTGGAAGTTTTAGAAGAACTTAGGCTTGAATTCGATGTAATTTGATGGTTTTGGTGTTAATTGAGGTGTTTTGATGATTGGAACAAGTTTGGATGATGTTTTAGGATGTGTTGGTGCTTTTGGTTGAGGTCCCAGTGGCCTCGGGTGAGTTTCGGGTGGTTAAACGGACTATTTCATCTTTGGAAAAGTTGCAGATTTTTGTTAAGCTTCAGCTGTGCACCAGAAAATTTTTGGTGCGAGGGGTCCAGTTTGGAAGCTCATATTTTGAAATATATAAGGAATCAGAAAAAGTACAAAACATAAAAGTTGTAGCTCTTGCATTCTAGTTTTCAGAAAGTTAAACTATTTATGATTTGGATATTCTATCAGAAAGTTATGATGAATCGCATATGGCTAGTGGATCAGTTTTGATAGAATTTTCTGATGCACTTTAGAAGCTCATATCTCGGAATATATAAAGAGTTATATGGTGTACAACCATCAAATGAAATATCTACGAGTCTAGTTTTTAAATATTCAAACCGTTTGTCATTTGGATATTTCCACAAGTAGTTATAGGCGTTTTAACAAAAGGTGTACAACAGGGAAAATGGTAAGAGGATGTACAACCTGCACAACGCAAGGTACACCTCGATGAAGCCTGGGCAGAATGTTTTTAAGTCCTCTTGTCCGTGATTTGGATCCATTTTTCAGCCATAGTTGATCATTTTGAGAGCTTTTTGAAGGAGATTGAAGAGGGATTCAAGGAGAAACGTTTGGAGGTAAGAATTTCGGACTTAAAACTCATTTATATTGTGAAATCCGCCTAGAAATTGAATTCTTGCTAAAAATGGAAGAAATAGGGCTTGGGATTTTGAGATTTTGATTGAGGATTTGGAGGACCATTTGGGGTCGGATTTGAGAACTTTTGGTATGTATGAACTCATGGGGAGATAAGAAACCCATTGATGTAAAAATTTCTAAATTTCGAGAACTGGGCCCGGGGCTCGGGTTTTGCCAATTTCGAGAATTTTGATATTTTTCAATTGTTTTCGATTGGGTATTGTTTCTTTAGCATAATGTGACATGTTCGTTGTGATTTTGGTCAGATTCAACGTGCGAGGAGGCCAATTTGAAAGGCAAGGGCATAGCGAGCTAGAGCTTTGGCCAGTTTAAGGTGAGTAATGATTTTAAATGATGTCCTGAGGGTTTGAAACCCCGGATTTTGCACAACGTAGTGCTATATTGAGATGAGACACACGCTGCGTGATGAGCGTGGGGTTTATTGCTACTGGGGATTGTGACTTGGTCCATCCCAATTGATATTTTCACTACATTTTGATTGAGACTTATGCATTATCATCCTGACTTGGGCTAGTTGCCATGTTTGGGGCCTTGTGCCGACCTGTAGAACCCTTTTGGGATTTTTGACTGGTTTTCCTCACTTATTTGCTAAAAATCATATCCTCAGTCATGTTTCTAATTGTTTAAAAATGATATGAACCGGGTTATGAAATGTTAACCATAAATGAGAGAAATATGTGGGCTGAGATCCCTACCTTATATTATTGTGCCCGAGAGGCTGTGATTATAATGACTGAGAGGGGTTGAGGACCCAATAGTGAGGATATTATATATGATATTGGATCGGGCTGCACGCCGCAACAAATACATATATTGGATCGGGCTGCACGCCGCATCAAATACTTATATGGACCGGGCTGCGCACCGCAACAAATATGCAAATACATATATTGGATTGGGCTGCATGCCGCAGCAAATACTTATATGGACCGGGCTGCACGCTGCAGCAATATAGCGCTTGGGCTGTAGGAGCCCCTCCAGAGTCTGCACACCCCCAGTGAGCGCAATTGACTATTATTATTATGGATCAGGCTGTGCACCACAGCGATATACGGATCGGGTTGTACGCCGCAACGGTATATATATATGTTTTGATTTTGGTTATTGTGAGAAGTATATGAATCGAGTATTGAGGGTAAGAAATAAGTAAATGAACAGAAATGCTCGAGGAGCGAATTTATACTGGATTAATGCCTGTCAAATTACCTGTTTTCACCTGGTTCAAAGAGTTTCATTCAATTTTCTTTACTACTTGCTCTTTAAATGGTTTTACTGCTTTGATATAGAACTGCTTAGTGCCTTTAAGTGATTTCATACCGTCAGCTGTTATTTATTATTATTACTCACTGGGTCGGAGTACTCACATTATTCCCTGCACCGTGTGTGCAGGTACAGGTGTCCATGAGGTGTAGAGCGAGCTTTCCTGCCGTTCAGTTTTTCATCGGAGTTATCGAGGTAGCTGCATGGCGTCCGCAGACNCCAGACCCGATTTCTCCCTCTATCTTTCTCTACTATTCCACATTTTAGACATAATTCTGCATTAGGCTGTTGAAACCTTGTATTAGAGGCTCAGACTTGTGACACCAGATCATTGGGCATTTGTAGAGATTTCATTATGGCCTTCCACATATTTCAATCTTTTATTTCAGACTTCTACTTATATTAAATTGGTATCTATTTCTAAAAATTGGTAATGAATTATAATAAGAAGGGATTCTGAGTAGTAGAAATCACTCTGCTAGGAACATAATCAGTCACACCACGCCACTCGATCCGCGGTACACCCGGCATAGCCAAAGTAACTGTCTTAGCATGACAGTCTAGATTAGCATGACACAGAGATAACCAATCCATGCCCAAAGTAACATCAAAGTCCACCATGCTCAATAGCAATAGATCAACTCAGGTTTTCAGACCCCCAATAGTCACAACACATGACTGGTACACACGGTCCACAACAACAATATCGTCCACCGGGGTAGATACGTGAATAGGTAAAGAAAGAAACTCCCGGGGCGTACCCAAATAATGAGCAAAATATGAGGACACATAAGAATCCCATAACCCACAGGTCCCAGGTTACATAGGTCTCGCGAGTCATGAGCCGGTTTAGTAGAGTCTCACGGATCGGTACGGAGACGTCTGTATTTATCCTCGAGAGGCTATAAAACCTTTAGGAAAAACTTCATATTCTTGAAATTCTTGTCGTGCGACTTTGGTTGATCCGAGAACTAAACTTCTGTTATCCTATTCTCTCGCAGATGGCGAGGACTCGTGCTACTGGACGAGGTGGACGACCACCAATACCACCCACTAAGGCCACCAGAGGTCGTGGACGCGGTCGTGGTCGTGGCAGAGGCAGGGTAGCAAGGGCAGCACCTATTGATCCACCAGCTGCCCCAATTCCAGTCCAGGCACCGGCAGTGCCTATTGTGATTCCGGGTCTACAGGAGACCTTGGCTTAGATCCTGACAGTTTGCACTGGCCTAGCTCAGGCAGTTTCAGCTACCACAGCAGCGACTACTTCACAGGCCAGGGGAGGCAACTAGACCCCCGCCGCTCGCACACCTGAGCAGGTGGTACAGGGATTGCAGACCCCGGAGGCACCTCCAGCTTAGCCGGTTGCACCAGTTTAGGAGTTTGTAGTACCAGTTATGCCAGATGATGAGCAGTGCCGTCTTGAGAGGTTTGGCAGCCTCCACCCTCCGTCATTCAGTGGTGTTGAGGGCGAGGATGCACAGGGTTTTCTTGACAAGTGTCAGCGGATGCTCCGTACAGTAGGGATACTTGAGACTAGTGGTGTGGCATTTACTACTTTTCAATTTATTGGGGTTACCTTCACTTGATGGGAGGCATATGAGAGGCGTAGGCCGGTTGGTGCAGCGCCCCTTACTTGGCAGGAGTTCTCCACTCTCTTCTTGGAGAGGTATGTACCACAGTCCCGCATGAAGGAGATGCGTAGGGTTTGAGTGGCTAAAGCAGGGAGATATAACTGTGTCTCAGTATGAGGCAAGGTTTTCTGAGTTGGCTCGTCATGCTAGTTGGATGGTTCCGACCGATCGTGAGCGGATCAAGAGATTTGTTGATGGCCTTAATTACCATCTCCGTATCTTGATGACTAGAGAGAGAGTTTTGGGTGTTTCATTTGAGGAGGTGGTTGATATTGCTCGGGAGATTGAGACGGCTCGCCGATAGGATAGAGAAGAGAGGGAGGCCAAGAGGCCTCGAGGTTCTGGTAGTTTTAGTGGTGCTCCATTTAGGGGCCAGTTCCAGCATGGTAGAGGCCGTTCTTTCAGGCCCGCTTAGTCGGCCTATCCAGAGTATCGCAGGGAATCTTCAGGTCGTGGTTATCATGGTTCTCAGTAGGGTCAGCCTTCACTAAGCGCCCTCCCATCTTAGAGTTCATCTCGTGCTCCATCAGTACATGGTTCTTCCGTGGCAGGTCATTCTACTGGTCCTTCTAGTGCCAGAGGTTCCCTTCAGTCCCTACCTCCAGCACCGGGTAGTTGTTACGAGTTTGAAGAGTTTGGGCATATGGGGAGACAGTGTCCTAGACTTTATGATGTTCAGTATCAGCAGAGGGGTCAGCCCTCGACTTCCGCTCCAGTTATTTCACCACCCGCCCAGCCAGCTAGGGGTAGAGGTCAGACAGTCAGGGGTCGCCCCAGAGGGGGAGGTCGATCAGGCAGTGGCCAGGCCCATTTCTATGCTATTCCAGGCCGAACATATATCATTGTTTCAGATGTTGTCATCACAGGTATTGTCTCAGTCTGCCACAGAGATGCTGTTATATTATTTGATCCCGGTTCCACCTATTCTTATGTGTCCTCATATTTTTCTCATTATTTGGGTACGCCCCGAGAGTTTCTTTCTTTACTTGTTTACGTATCTACCTCGGTGGGCGATACTGTTGTTGTAGATCGTGTGTACCAGTCATGTGTTGTGACTATTGGGGGTCTGGAGACCCGAGTTAATATATTGCTATTGAGCATGGTGGACTTTGATGTTATTTTGGGCATGGATTGGTTATCTCCATGTCATGCTATTTTAGACTGTCATGCTAAGACAGTTACTTTGGCTATGCCGGGTGTACCGCGGATCGAGTGGCGTGGTGTGACTGATTATGTTCCTAGCAGAGTGATTTCTTTTTTGAAAGCCCATCATATGGTTGGGAAGGGTTGTCTGTCATATCTAGCTTTTGTGCGAGATGTCGGAGCTGAGACTCCTAGTATTGATTTTGTCCCAGTTGTGAGGGATTTTCCCGATGTATTTCCTGCAGACATGTCGGGCATGCCGGCGGACAGGGATATTGATTTTGGTATTGACCTGGTGCCGGGGCACTCAGCCCATTTCCATTCCTCCATATCGTATGGCACCAGCAAAATTGAAAGAGTTGAAGGAGCAGCTTCAGGAACTCCTAGATAAGGGGTTCATTCGGCCTAGTGTGTCACCTTGGGGTGCACCAGTTTTATTTGTGAAAAAGAAAGATGGCACAATGAGAATGTGCATTGATTACAAGCAATTGAATAAAGTAACAATGAAGAACAAGTATCCTTTGCCTCGCATTGATGACTTATTTGATCAGCTTCAAGGAGCGAGTGTGTTCTCGAAGATTGATCTCCGTTCGGGCTATCACCAGTTGAAGATCAGGGATTCAGATATTCCTAAGACTGCTTTCAGGACTAGATATGGTCACTATGAGTTTCTTGTCATGTCTTTCGGGCTGACCAATGCCCCAGCAGCGTTCATGCATTTGATGAACAGTGTATTTCAGCCTTATTTGGATTCATTCGTCATTGTATTCATTGATGATATTCTGGTGTACTCGCGTAGTCAGGAGGAGCACGCAGAGCATTTGCGTGTAGTGTTGCAAAGATTGAGGGAGGAGAAGCTTTATGCGAAGTTCTCCAAGTGTGAGTTCTGGCTCGGTTCATTGGCATTCTTGGGACATATAGTGTCCAACGAGGGTATCCTGGTTGATCCAAAGAAGATAGAGGCAGTTCAGAGTTGGCCTAGACCATCCTCAGCCACGAGATTCGTAGCTTTCTTGGGTTAGCAGGCTATTATCGCCAGTTTATTCAGGGATTTTCATCCATTTCATTGCCTTTGACCAAGTTGACTCAGAAGGGTGCACCATTTGTATGGTCGGACGAGTGTGAGGAGAGCTTTCAAAAGTTCAAGACAGCTTTGACCACAACTCTAGTGTTGGTTTTGCCATCAGTTTCAGGTTCATACACCGTATATTGTGATGCTTCGAGAGTTGGGATTGGCTGTGTATTGATGCATGAGGGTAGAGTGATTGTTTATGCTTCTCGTCAGTTGAAACCCCATGAGAAGAACTACCCTATTCATGATTTGGAGTTGGCTGCCATAGTTCATGCATTGAAAATTTGGAGGCACTATTTGTATGGCGTATCTTGTGAAGTATTCACGGATCATCGCAGTCTTCAGCATTTGTTCAAGCAGAAAGATTTTAATTTGAGGCAGCGAAGATGGATAGAGTTGCTTAAGGATTATGATATTACTATCCTGTATCATCCCGGAAAGGCCAATGTAGTGGCCGATGCTTTGAGCCGAAAGGTAGTAAGTATGGGGAGTTTGGCGTACATTCCAGTTGGGGAAAGACCCTTTGTAATTGATGTTCAGGCTTTGGCCAATCGGTTTGTGAGACTAGATATTTCGGAGCCCCGTCGGG